TTTGATGAGAAATGCTGATGAAGTTAGATTGTTTGGTGTTCTCTTCTTTCTCTTGTGTTATGGTTGGAGGACGCTCGGAAGTGTGTGCTTCTAGGGCTTTAGTCTATGTATACTAGAAAGGAATTTGGTTTATTGGGGTAGTGTAATTGCTCTTTCCATGTTTTGGCAATAGTGAGAATTCTCTGAAGTGCTGGCCGCTACACATTAACGGCTTCTGCAGATGACTGGTATAGAGAAGCACACTGTGGTTCAGTAGGTGTACCTCGAAGTGTGGCTTACATTGACTGAATGTGTCACCACTCAGTTGTACCAAAGAACTTTCTACACTCTGTGCTTTCTAATGACCTAATTATATTTACATTTAGGTTTAAATTGTTGGCAGTTGTCAGGAGAAGCAGTCTCAAGCTTCCTGCTGCATTGGCACAAGGGTTTTTGAAGTGAGTTAGAAAAAACAACTGCTCTGTCTGGAAACTAGCCTGGCAAACTAGCCTGGCTAAAAAGTTTAGCTTTTATCTGAATTGGTTCTTTAGTGTAGCTCACAAACGAGTTGCATGCAGGAAGACTTGTGTTTAGTATAAGGGACAGTGGAGGTGGGAAGATGGGTGTGAGTCTTCCAGGGCAGTGCTGGCTTAGGTGGTTTTGAGAGTTTTTTTCAGCTGCTCTTATTGCAGCAATACAAAGGAGATGTAAAGATGTAAAGGGGATTTGTGGTTTTGAATACTTGCACCTTTTCCGCCAGTCCCATGTGTGTTGAAACTTCCAGTGGAGATCTCAGATGTGTTGCATTATATTGCAAATAATGTATACTGTAGTCTTTCTGACTGAAAACCAGCGTTTTTCCTTGCAGCATTCTTCAGCATCCAAATATTCTCCAGTGCGTTGGGCAGTGTGTGGAAGCCATTCCTTATCTTCTAGTTTTTGAGTTCTGTGACTTGGTAAGTACACTCACAAAAAAGGCTGCAGTTGGTTTTTGCCCCATGTGAGTTGTAGGTAGTGTATTTACTGCCCTTCACCCATGAAATAATTCTTAGGATGATTTTCAGCATAATCCTGTCCTCTTCCTCATCCCTTCTCTTGTCTTCCTCTAACAATGCCCCCTCCCCATCCCGGTTATCTTCTTATCCTCCTTTCCCCCCTGCCCCTGTTTGGATGAAGCAACTGCCTTCCTGAGCGTTGAGAGAAATGCTAAGAGCATGGAGAAGGGTTTTCTCATGACTTTCTTTTCTACTGTTAGCGCCACAGAAGCCACTGAAGATGGGGAGGGTAGTTGCACAAAAACCTTGCTCAACCCTGCATTCCTGGGCACGTGCTGAAGTTCACCTAGCCTTTGTGAGAAAGGCGATATGCACGTGTAGAAACTTTGGACTGTGCCCAGTGTACATAGAATCTTCAGAGACTTTAGCTCTTTGAATCTTTCAAGCTCTCCTGAATGTGTGCAAGCAGATTTTAAGGGACTGAAATTTGGATATGGCAACGGATCCATAGTCTTGAAAGACTTAAAGAATCGTTTTATTGCAGCATACCATGGTATTAAAAAAAAAAACAAACCCAACATGTCAGATGGCTATCTAAACATTAGCTGAATAGCCGCTTTTAAAGTTTGTGGTCTAGAGGGCATTTAAAGCGGAGTTCGTTGATAAAGCTTGAGAGAAATGAACTCAGGTACATACATGTGTTATTAAAGCTTCAGATTTTCAGAAGTAAAGGAGTTTGCCTTTATAAGATTCAACATGATCCTTTTTTAATCAGCTTTTTCTCTTAAACTCTAGTGCACAAATATAGTTCTAGTTACATTAATTGCCTCAAGCAATTTAAATAAGAATGAACAAGAACTTTGAGTTTTACTGAGAAACATCAGTTAATTTGTGTCCTTAAGTAACTATATTCTTCATTACTGCTCTTGCTCAAATTTATTAGCTGCAGTAAATTAATGAAGCAGAAGAAGCACTGATAGAATCATTCTTTTCTTTCTTTACAGAAGAAAGCTTAAACTTTTCAAGTGACTCATCCAAGTGAAATGTTCAGTTTTGGGCAAGAATTAGAAAATGCATGCCTAAGGTTAAGCAGATAATGTTCTTGATATTTTTTAATTTGCATAAATAGAATAGTTCATATTGATTTAGAACATGCTGTCAAGTTTGAGATCCTTCAGAAGGACTCTAGAAAAAGAACTGCATTTTACATAGTTTATGCTAATAGATATGCATCTAAATATTTAATCAGATTCAACTCCTGCCATATTTTTAAATAGTTGTTATTAAATATGACTTAAAATTTGAAGATGGAGTAACTTTTAGATTGCCCTACTTTAAGCATACAAAAAAATTAATATCCTTGTTGGATGCCTGATGATTAATGCCAAAAATTGTCATGATCCTGCAAAGTAGTCTGGAAAGGATTTTACTTAGGGGGACAAAATAGATTTTTCACTTCAACTGGGTAGTGAAGTGGTAGTTCTTACAAATTTGAATGTAGCTGGTCAGTCTCATTGGCATGGAAAATAAATGTCTATGCTGATTTCTCTTGCAAGCTAACCAAAACTTGTATTTGAAAAATTATGTATTATAGTATACTAAGCTACAGTTAAACATGACTTGTCTCATATCTCATACTGAAAGTCTAATTTGCTTGAAGAAGTCTTATTTGGAAGACCTAGGCATCCCCCTAGAGATCATAGTATTTTGTTCTCTGTGCACACAAATATACAGGGGCTAGGCAGACAAAATAGCGTTCACTTCAATAGTTTCATGCAGAGGTTGAGAGACAAGTGCAGTGAAAAGGTTAGCTCAGTATCACTGTATGTCACTAATGTTTGTTGTAGTCCTGGGGTCTAATGTGGAGGTAGCGATACTAGAGTGAGGGGAGAGGAGAGACATGAAGGAAGGGGAGAAATGTGTGTGAAGCTGGACAGTGGCATTTGGAATTGAAGGTATGGCTAGGTAACTTTTTTAAAAGACAGTTCATAGACTGCTCTGGAAACTGCTTTTATTGTTGTGGCTGAGGGTGGCAGTTACTGCTTGAATTTTTCAGGACTTGAGTAGGTAATACTGAAAGGTGGTAGGTTCTGCTCTACCTTTCTCTGAAATTGGCTAATGCTGGGAAAATGGAGACGCTTCCAAAACATACCTTCAGTCCAATCCTTTACCCGAGCGTAGGGACGGACTTAGCTGAAGTGGCTGACTACGGGCTCTGCTATCGTGGTGACTTTGTATTGCTCAAACGGGAGGATGTCAAGAGTATTGGTATTTTGCTAGTAGTAGTATAATCTTATGATGGTATTTACCTTGTTGTGTGATTGATGTTTTATACATATATACAAACAAAGAATAAGCTTATTTTAATCTCTGGTGCTTACATGATTAAGAATCTGATGGTTAGCAAAAAGGTGGCTAATGTGCCAACTGTATTTGAGAAGAAGTTCTCGTGTCTCTGGAGCTCTTTCAGGCTTTCACAACGTAGACTTCACAAATTTGGTAATACTAAGTAATGAAAAATATGGCTGTTCTCCTGACAAAGAGTCTGGAGGTTATGGTGGCTGTTTTCGTCAGACTCCTCCAGATTCATGGCATATCACAGCATTCCCTTTTGCAGCTTCTTCTATTAGCCTTTACAGGGACGCTTGACCTTGTCTCAGCTGCTCAGCAGCCCTGTTGGATTATCAATTCTCAGGCTCCTTGGGCCCGAAAGGTCTTATCGGGAGTGCTGGAAGCTGTACTGCAGATAACAAGCTACCACAACAGTTAGCTTTGGTGTTTCTTGGCTGTTTCTGATATTCAAGCTTGCTTGGTTGTATATGCGTTGATGATATTTGCTACCTTTTAGCCTATTTTATAATGTAATTCAGGATGCTCTGTGCCCCTTGCTTTACAAAGCTGGTCAGTTGTACATGAGTGATTAGAATATTCAAATCCTAATTTTCATTTTCCTGTTTTTTAAAATTGTTTACAGTTCTTTAAATAGTGACTATAAAAGAAATGCTCAGTAAGTTTTTAAAGGAATTCTGTATTAGTTTGTTTAGTGTCTTGGTGTAGCCTTCTATGAGTAGTTAACTGTCCACTGCTAAACACTGTAGAATGGTGCTAGGTTAAAAATAGTAGTAGCTATCTTGTTAACTTTAATATATCACCCAGCTGTGTGTGGCCAACCTTTTGTCAGCACAGCATATCTTTTAATGGAATGACATAATTTATGAGTAAAAGTTATTCAAATGTGGAAGTAGCATGTACCTTGTGAGGCTGATTTGCCTATCAAATTGATCTTACAAAAATTATTTGCCTTGCAATTCACTGAGCAGGTGAGGTCAGCAGAATGCAGTATTTGCTTAAAATGCTCTGTAGCTCACTTTAGGCATGTGGCTCTTAGGTGCTTGCCAGCTGTGGCTAGTTCTTTAATTTGGTTGGGCTTTTTCTAATTACTGAAACCAGTATCTTCAAATTAGAGAGTTTTCAATTAAGACTTCTTAACTGGAGTTTTAAAAAATCTGTTTAAAAATCCTAGACTATATCAATATAAGAGGTAAATACGAGGTTTGTCAATGGTATGTTTAAAAAATTAAACTGGGCAATTTATTATGATGTCTTTAGAAATCATGTGTCTTGGATTCAGATTTTTTTTTTGCAAAAATATTTACTATTTATTAAACTTAGCAGATGCTTAACCAACTTTTTAATGGTGTAAGGGTCATACTGCCATTAAAATGCCCGAAAGTGTTGTGTGGAATGATCACAATTGCTTATGCTGTGAAGCAGTGTTGGATGGAGGGAAAGGAAAGTGTTTTTATTTGTCTAAAAACTTCAAAAGGGGCAATGACAGGTACTGTATGACCTGGCAAGTAACTTTCCAACTTGGCAGCCAGTGTTCAGTGGATGAAAAGTCATTTGTCAGCTATTCTCATTTGTTCAGGATGTTCTTATGGACCAGGTGTGGAATTTGCACAATCAAGGAAACTACAGGAATATAGCAAGTAAATATGCCTTTGGGCCTCAGACTATTGCAGAGAAAAAGCATATCTGATTTAAAGGACTTAACTACAAAGAAGGCTGAACTGATCCTGTTGAGAACTGGGAGGGCTGGGAGGCAAAATCTAGTTGTTGTTCATGGAGTCCCAGGAGAGAAGGAAGTGGCTGTAGTAGAGGAAGTTGGAGAGAAAGTGGAGCCTCCCTCAAGCATGATTATTGACCATGATATATGTTTATGTGTCTGAGCAATGAATATTGCAGAACTGTATTTTATTCTGCTATGTATATGTACACCCTCTGACACTTAACTGTGTAAAACCTAGTACAAGATAGGGCCATTTTCTGACTCATAAAATAGGGATAATATTGATGTATTATCACTGCAGGGAGGGATCACTGGATAATTCAGGCCGGAGGGGAGCTCCGGAGGTCCCTGGTCCCGCCTCCTGCTCCAAGCAGGGTCACCTTGACGTCAGGCCAGGTTGCTCAGGGCTTTCTCCAGTTGAGTCTTGAAAACCTCCGAGGATGGAGATGGCCCAGCCTCTCTGGGCAGCCTGCTCCGCTGCCTGCATGTCCTTATGGGGGGGAAAGGGTTTCCCCACGCTCAGTCCGAGCCGCTATTGTTTCAGCTTGTGCCTCTTGCCTCTCCCCCTCCCACCATTCAGCACGGCCAAGAGCCTGGCCCGGTCTCCTCGGAAACCTCCTCGCAGGTGCTGGGCGGCTGCTGTCCGGTGGCCCCGAGCCTTCCCTGCTCCAGGCGGAACGAGCCCAGTTCCCTCAGCCTCATCTCACAGAGAAGTGCTGCAAACCCTGACCGTCTTGGCGGCCCTCCGCTGAACTCGCTGCAGTTGTCGATGCCCTCCTTTGGAGGGGGCAAAACCTGGACATGGTGTCTAACTGTGGTCTAACAAGTGCCAATAGAGGGTGGCAATCCTATCTTTTGATCTACTACTGGCTATGCTCCTGTTGATACAACCAGTCAGGGCTGAGCCTTGGAAGGGGATTTTCCTTCCCAGGTACAAGACTTTGTCCTTGCTGAATTTCATAAGGCTCCTTTTGGCCCATTTCTCTAGCCTTTCTAGGTCCCTCTTGACGGCAGCCCAGTCCTTGAATGTATCAGTTTGTCACCCGAATTTGGCAAAAGCAGTGTTCTTAAACCGATACCTAAAAAAGTCTTTGTTAATGCCCCTCTGTGTAGTGATTTCTTTTATAATTTTAACCCTGATTGTTGGCTTAATTGGAATAGAATGGCAAAATAGAACCAATATTTTAAGATGCTGGATTTGATACAAATTATATCTGATATAAAAAACATGTACTTACATGAATTATTTACTAAATAAGGGATGCCACATAGCACTGCTGTTACTAATGCATTTAAAAATTAAAAAGTAATTCCTTGGTGTGTTTCAGGCATTCTAGGAGCTTAATCCATCTGGGACAAACCATAAATAACCAGTTGCTGATTTAATGAAAGACTGCAATTTCACAGGAGATAGTTTGACTTTCTTCAGCAACTTGCTGCCATCTAGAGTCAGTTGAGCAATATGCTCTATACTTATTATAGTCATTAGGCTACCTGATTGGGAACCTGTGTGTCTTCTGGACACTATTTAATTCATACTTCTTTGGAAATGCCTGCTCTAGTAAACCTGCTCTGGCAAGACAGAAAGGGAGGAGTGAATGTATATATGTATAATATGTAATTATTTATATATTATTTATATATATTTTAATATATGTATAATATTGTGTTTTAGATATATATAATGATGTGTGTATATACATATACCCCATAAACTAGTATCATATCAAAGCTGTAATCATAAGTCACAAGGAACCTGCAGGGAAATGCTTCAAAAAAGCAATTCCATAGGATACAAATACTTAAATGTTACCTAATTAGTAGCTTAAAGCAGGACAAAGAGACAATGTAATGAAGGGCTTTAAAAATATTAAATGATATTAAAGTTATGAATGCATTCTGAAAGTGGTATAGCTACCTAGCATATAAATGGTACTTATAAAGCAGATGTTGATGGAATAGTTAGTGGCATGTAATATAGACTCTACTCCTATACAGGACTTTTTTTTTGTTTTAAACATGAATAGTGTCCACTTTTGTTAAGCAACTGTTATGGCTTATTAAACATTATAACTCAAGTCTGTGAATATCCAGTCAGTCACCTGAGCTGCCACTGCACTGTAACATTTAAATGCCCTACACAGATATTTACTACTTGATTTAAGAGAACTGTAAATTGTCATTTTCAGTTTACCACATTAAGGAGGAATGAGATGCTTCAGTTGCAGTTCTATATGCTCTATGTGAGCACCAGAGGAATAGGAAACTTAGTAATATTGATTTTTTTTTTCCTGAAGATGAGAACATTTCAGCCAGTGCAAAGGCTTCTGTCTTCCCCCAATTTGTTCTAGCGTCTTGCTTTTACTGTTGTGCTGTCTTGTCTTGTCTCTCTCATGGCTTCCCTTCAGTGTCCTTCCCAGGCCATGGTTTATGCAAACAGTGGACCTGTACAGTTAAGAAGTGGCAGGTTAGAAGCTCAGCTATGAGAGTAGGAACAATAGTATGAGAAATTTGATCTCTTACCTTTATTAGATCCATTTACTGTAGTCTTACTTTTCCTGAGTGCATTTGACAATATTACTTTTCCCTGCTATTTCAAAGTTGTTCTTTCTTAATAATTTATGGCATACTGTTGTGGGCTCATTAATTGTGTGGATGGTACTCGGCCTTGCCTAGATCCAGTAGAGTTGCTACCATCCTCTGGTGCCTGAATTCCTAGAGAGTGGTGGGTATTAACGTGCTTTTTATATCAAGGGTCTGTTGAGGTGGGGATGTTGGAAACAGGTTTCTGTGCTCCCTTCCTTCTGTCTCTTTGCAAATTCCAGACAGTCAGCTTTGATTTAGAGCATTTTAAACTAATCTCTTTAAAAAGAGAAGTTCATCAAACTCTGGTTTTTAATGGAAAGTATTATTGTTTGCCAACTGTGTACATGCGGGAGTGTGATCTGGAACATTAACTACTAAGTGATTTGATTAAATACCCTTAAAAGGACAATATTATATGCCTTAGGTGCCTTCTGTAAGAGTCCTTATGGAGACTGGAAACTTGATGAGGAGATTCTTTATTAAGCTTGAATCTATTTGTAACTATTACTAACCTTGTTGACTGATATGCAAATAATGTGGTTAGTTGGTTCTTCGTTAAATATGTATATTTTTTAATTCAGCCAACATACAAGACTGGTATTTTCAACTTCTTTTTCAGGGTGACCTAAAAACCTATGTCTGCAATGAGCAGGAACATATTAAAGGAGATTCACAAATAATGCTGCTACAAAGAATGGCGTGTGAGATTGCTGCTGGACTTGCTGTAATGCATAAACATAACTTTGTGCATAGGTATGCTTTCCAGATATTTTTTTTGCTGTAGTGCACTGTAAAATTCATCTAATTCTCTTCACTAAAATTGGTGTGTATTGAAGATAATGTTTTAACGTAAACTTTTTTAATTTTACATAACCTAAGTCATGAAAGTATGATGCTTATTGAGATGCTAATTTAACTGCAGTAGTATGGTCCTATGGCTCTCCTGTTTGAAAGCTGATCACCTGCTTAGGTTTACAGTCTATAGAGCACTATCTGCAGCTTAGCCAATCCAGATGATGTGATTGTACAACAAATTCTTGGACCAGTTAAATTTGTGGGTTTTTTAAATTTTATTTTATTCATGTGTTGCTGTACTGGCAGTCTTTCAAAAAATACAAATGTTGTATTTTGCAAGATTTCAGCTCACTGACTTTAAGGACCAGTAACTGCTGAGGCTGATATAGTGAGCAAGACATTTCAGAGTGTTGCCAAAAATCTTTTGCAAAAGGCTCATGAGTAATAGTTACTTAAATCTTAAAGGTGCTCATCCTCATACTTCAAAATCTCACCCTCCAGCCTCAGATCCTCAAATGCTATTTAAAATATTTCTTAAACTGTTTTAATATAATAGAACAGTTGAAAATAAAGGTAAATGGTTATGTTAATAGTTATTTCATTTAAAAATTGTTAAAATCTTACCCGATGTCTGTGTGTGTTATAATTCTTACCAATTCAGATCTCTTATTTAGTGATCTGTCTCCTTTCTAACTATAAATGGAAAAACAACCCATAACTGCTGCTTTTTTAGTGCACTAAGGATCTGCTGACTGAAGCAGATGCGCTCTCACTAAGTGTTGTTTATATTTAAGTTTCTCTTAATCTTATCTTCAATTTAGAAGAAATCATAAAGGGAAAAGAAATCCTTTTAATCAGAGGAAAAAAATAAAGAAATCTAGCCTTTTTAAGTTAAGGCAGTAGGTATTGAAAGAGAATGGCAGTAACATTGAAATGTTAGGGAAAAAATGTATTCATGAAACTAATTGCTCAAATTATGCTAAGGTGTGTGGGGAGGTGGTTTGTTTTTTGATTTTTTTTTTTGTCTTAATTGAAAAGGTGTTAAGGAACTGGAAACCATCAACCTTAGACTTGTCATGACTAAAAGACTAAACAGTACGTAACTCTCCAAATGTGGCTTAGCTTGATGAGGCTGTTGGCATCACAAGATGGTTTACTTCAGCTTTTTTTTTTTGTATTGGCTCAGCCTGTTCTTTGCTGTAGAAACAGCACTTGAATCATTTCTTTAGCAATTTAGGAACTTGTTCTAGAGCTCATCAGTGCACATCATACCTTGCAGACAAAGAAGGCAGAGATCTTGTTTTTAGGGAGAAGCTGAACTCAAGTCTGAAAAAGTGCAAGTGTAAAACGGAACCAAAATCCCTCAAAAAATCCCAAGACCTGACTCAGCTGGTGCCTGATGAGCAGGACTTTTTTTAACTTGTTTAACAACTTTGAATGACTTGAAGCTAGTATCAATCTTAACTGTCAAGCTGAGTGATTGCTTATTTCTTGTATTGTAGCAGCATGGCTTTGTAGGTTTTGTATTTAACAGTGTGTTTTCAGTGGAATACAGCTAAAGTTGGTAAATAATTATCTGTAGATGTGTAAGATTATCACTGTAAATGTTTATTTCTAGCAACACTATCCTAATGCTGTTAGAGTAAGTGGTAAAGCTCCAGCATCAGTGATTTTGTTGTTAGTGGTAAATTCAAGCAGCTAAAGTTGTACTTATTTTCTCCCCCAGGATATTTAATTAAATAGTATAAAACAAGATGGAAAATTTTGGGGTGTACTTGAAAAGGTTGCAAATCTGTTTCTGATCTATGAGGTTCAGTGAAGAACTGAAGTTCTCTTTGGAAGGGAATGTTTCCTTCTCCTGTTGAAGCAGAAAAATTACATGGATTTTAGGCTTTTTACTTCAGTGACTTGTTTTAAGCCCCACGGAGGTAGCGGTAGAGGGCTTGCAGTGTTCTCCGTTGCCTGGTACCTTCCTGTCCCACTGAGAAACTACTTGAGCAGATAGTCTGTGGAGCTCCGTGCAACCGCAGCTACAGTCCTGTCATAAAGCCAGTAGCTTTGTTAAACTTGCATAACTTTGAGTTTGCCGTGTGGGCTTTCTAAAATAGCTTCTTGCTATTACAGCTGCACTGCTGGCTATGAGTATTGTGGTCTGGTTTATGGTGGAAACTGGAAACAAATTATGTGGGTATTTGAGCTTTTAGAGGAATTTTTATGAAATATACTACTTTTTTGATGGTCTGTTTCAAAGACTAAAGGTGTCATTCCATTTCAAATGTAATGTATAGTTTGCTTATTTAGAGGAACTTAATTGGAGGTCTCAGACGCAATTAATTGCTTAGTATCATATTGTAAATTGTTAAGTGTTTGAACCTGATATGAATTGTTGATAGTTCTTGCTTTATGGCAATGACAGGTGTTAGGTAAAGAGGGGCCTATGTTGCTGTGGTGTGTGAACGGTGTAAGTAGATTGATGTTACAGGATGATTAGTGAAATGAAACTACTGCATCTAATTCTTTGTGTAGGTAGAATGCTTGTGAGCATCCTTGGCAGCTGCACAGACGGGAAGTGACTGCGTTTGGAGCTCCTTTACAAAGGACAGCCAGGAGTTGTATCAGGCTTTGAAAACAATTCTTTAGTCGTAGCGTACAATTGTTTAATCACACTAATTGACTGTTGATTCAAAGTCATTTCTAGTATTCTGGGTTTTTTTGTATACAATTTTTGTAAGTCATCTTGTCACTAGGTTTAGGATCATTCAGTTGTATTTTGATTCCAGCATATAGATTTTGCTCGACTGTGTAGTCTAAATTAATTCAGTTTTGATAATGTGGGAGGGGCTACAGGCAAACATAATCCTGTGACCACAAAACAAACCTTGTCAAATAAATCTGCTGTAAGGCGCCCTTATATCACTACCGTTCCTTTTTCTGGTAGTGATAACTGTTTTTAGAGAAGTGCTCTGTCTACAGCATTCCAGGGAGAGATGGGATCTAAGGTAAGCTGAGGAAGGTTTCAAAATTTAGTGAAAGCGTAAACAGCAAAAGAACTATCTTAACATTTAATCTGGATCAAAATTGTACTTCTGAAATGAATCTCCAAGCTGACCCAGTTACTGTGCCTGGGTTTGCATTATGAGTCGATCTTTTAGTCTTCATGGGCTGGTTTAGTGTCATCTGAAAAGAATGAGATAGGTGCTCCAGGAGCATACCTAATCTGTTGCTGCCATTAGGCATCTGGTCTATGATACCAGACTAGAGCTCATCTGAATAAACCCCTCTGAAACACATACAGTGTGGATGTTGAATCCATAGCACTGGTTTCATATTACTGATCTGCTCCAATTATGGCCTGCTATTTGCTACTGCAACCTATAAATATGCATAATTTCTTGTATTTTGTAAATGGATTTTTTTTGGCTTTTCCATTGATACTTTAAGCTATGCTCTAGCTTTGTTCTAAAAAGTTTCACTAATATGTTAACCCAGTTGTTTTAGTTTGGGTTGAAAATTTCTTCTTGGTTGGTCTGGCTATGTATTTTTGTGTGTGTTTTTTTTTTTTTTCAGTGACTTGGCCTTACGGAATTGCTTTCTTACATCCGATTTAAATGTCAAAGTAGGAGATTATGGTATAGGATTCAGTCGATACAAGGTAGGTTAATCTAGTCATGTACCCCCCCCCCCCCCCAAGAATTTGGTATTTAAAGTTACAGCAAAAATACAGTAAGGTTATGAACTGATACTAGATCATCCTTTATCTAAATACAGGATTTTTAAAGCATGACTGGAAAATAACTGTAGCAAGCTCATGTAACAGAATATATGATCTTTCTGGAAATGGGTGGAGTTTATGCCTATAGAAGGAAGCTTCTGGTTAAACTTATGTTAATACATCATATTTTCAGTATAAAATAATAATGGCAAGCATTATGCAGAAATTTTAATGATTTTTTTAAAAGAAAATTTAATCAATTTTATTAATGAAAGTTTTTAATGTGTACATACATCAAGAAAGTGCAAAGTTCAAGACACTAAAAATGAGTTTAAGTACTAAACCTTAAATAAGAAGTTGATGTTTAGTTTTTCTAATATCTACTGAACAGTAGATATGCTCTTCCAATGTAGTATTAATGTCTGCCACTGGGGGAAAAATAGGATTAATTTTTTTTAAGGTGCATATACAGATCACACAAAATGATTAATTTGAGGGGGGGGGGAAGAAAGGCAAGGGGCTTCTCAAAGTTGATGCAATGTTTGTTCAGTCTTTTTCTGGTTTTCTTTTACCAATAATGTAGGAAGATTATATTGAGACAGATGAGAAGAAACTTGTCCCTCTCCGATGGACTGCACCTGAGTTAGTAACAAGTTTTCAAGACAGGCTGTTATCAGCAGAGCAAAACAAGTACAGTAACATATGGTACGTAGTAGGCTTTAAAATAACTTCTGCAAGAGATCGGGGAATGCATTTTTAAATGTTATGCTAAAAACAGTAAATATTTAATTATAAATTGAGGATGTTCAATTATAAATCAAATATGCTGCTACTTTATTTTATCGGTAGTGTAGTAGGTTAATCTCCAAAAGAAATCTGAAACAATATCCTGCCTTGGAAAGATCCTTAAGAATCTTTTAAGAGATCAATTACACTGAAGAAAAAGGTTTAGCAGAGGAATAGGTATTTATACTAATAAATATTTGCTGTGTATTTGCCAAATGCCTTCAAATGTTTATAAAGGAAGGAACTAGCAAATGAGTTTTCAATTAATGTACTAGCTGTGGATGACGCACAAAAAAAAGAAAAAACTTGTGAAGTTGATCCCACTAGGGCCCCATTAAGTTACAATGGTAGAACAGTAGCATCTTCATTTCATGTTGTAGCATTTTTAAGGGCTGCAGTTAAGTATTTGTCTCTTATCAAAGAGTTAATAGACAAAGGCTGGAGAAAATCATTGAGAGGACGTTTTGTTGAAGTCACCAAGTTGCACTTCGATTCTCAAGTCCCAGGAAATTTGGGAAATGGAAACTGGCTTTTAGACTTGCACTTCTGAAAATATTGTGGTTAAATTCCTGCTTTTATATTCTAAGGGTATTTAGTAAATTGGGTTTTACTTAAGTTAGACAGGATAGACAGAAATGGTCTAAATACCGATTTCCCTGCATCCTTCAAGCAGGGACCATCAGTTCATGCTGTTGATCTAAACTGCAAGCAACTAAGGTTTTAAGCATTCCAAATTGGAATTTTAGTGTCTCTCCTGCAGACCTGCTTTGAGCAGGGCTTTGAACTAGATGACGTTGATACAGACTCCTTACAATCTAAACTGTTTCATGGTAATACATGCACAATTTTGCACTTTGAGCAAGAAGTTGCCCAAAAATCAGCATCAACATTAATCCCTGAAAATGTGATTAGTGTTGCATACAGTAGGTATACAGCACCGAGCAAAAAAAAAAAAAGCTTCTGATTACTACAGCTTAAAAATAATTATATTTACTCATTAAATGTGCAAAGAAATAAGTACTTATTTAAGTACTGAAACAAAGATTATTTTTCCTAATGGTTCGACCCACACCTGTGATTTCTGATCAAAGCTTTTTCTGCTGGTGCTATAAGGCTTTTTCCTCTTGTTTCCTAAATATGCGTTTTCTAATTTTTTTTGATATGTGGAAGCTTCTTCCATAGTTGAATCACTTGAGGCCTGTAGTCTTTGCCTGCCTTGGCATTGCCTTCAAGGAGCTTTGTTCTTGAGGCTTCTACCATTCTGTCAAATGCAGCTGAAATTAGTGTACAAGTTCTGAGATTATTGTGCAGCCAGTGGGAAAGTGGTATTTGTTTCATCTTGCCAGTTATGCCTTCTGCGTAATCGTTACTTTCTTAGCAAAGCGTCTTGAAACAGTCTTTAGAATGTAAGCGTGCTGTTGTTTGCTGTTCTTTTTCAGGTCACTGGGTGTAACGTTATGGGAGCTTTTTGAGAACGCTGCTCAGCCTTATTCAGAGTTTTCTGACAGGGAAGTCCTTACCCATGTCATAAAGGAGAAGCAGGTTAAACTCTGTAAGCCACATCTGGAGCAGCCATACTCTGATAGATGGTAACTCTTTTTAATTTGTGTTTGTTCTTAAAGCTGCTGAACAAGTTCCTCAGGTTACTCACTTCTCTTAGAAATACATTAAAATTGCTGCATGAAATCATCTTCCTGGCAAAGAAACCTTAGATAAAAGCAAAAGGAGTTGCTCTGGGTGGAAATTCCTGCTAGTAATGCTAATTGTTACCCTTCAGTTCATTAATTATCTGATTCTTGGATAGACTCCTTTTCTGCATGGAGCCTATTGAAACATGTTTCTTCTTTATATAGGTATGAAGTTCTGCAGTTCTGCTGGCTACCTCCAGAAAAGAGACCAACAGCAGAAGAAGTACATAGGCTTTTAACTTACCTTCGCATGCAAAGCCAAAGGGACTCGGAGATTGATTTTGAGCAACAGTGGAACGCTCTTAAACCAAATGCCTCAAATAGAGAAACAAATAATTCTGCGTTTCCCATCTTGGATCACTTCACAGGAGATAGACTTGGCCATGAAATGGAAGAAGTTCTTACTGTAACTGAAACAAGCCAGGGTCTCAGCTTTGAATACGTCTGGGAGGCAGCTAAACATGATCATTTTGATGAATGTGGTCATGTGAACCCTGATGAAGCAATGACATACACAAATATTTTCTTTCCAGTGGAGGTTTTTGAGAGGTCCCTTTCAGAGCAAGGGCCGGGGGCACAAGGCGAAAGTGGTCAGGAAACATCACTTGCTGTCCCTGGGGTGCTACCTGTATTTGACGCCCACAAACTTTCTGTTGGAAACGACTACTATATCCAATTAGAAGAGAAAGGTAGCGGCTGCAGCATGAATTTTGATAACCAGTCAGTTGTACTAACTACAGAAGTTGATCATCAAGAAGCTCTACAAGAAAAAAATTCTCATTTCATGGTTCTCAGGGATCTTGATGTTGAAGAATCCAGTACTGATGGGGATTTCTTCCACTATAATACAGATCCTAAAGAGGAAATTTTGCCTGCTGCTGGTAGTCCAGAAAGTCCTTTCCAGAATATCTTTAATGACATTGACAGATCAGAGGAATTGATGAACAGAAATATATTTGGCTTAGCTGAAATGAATATTCCTAAAGACTTTAAACCAACTGCTTTAAACTCAAACACGGATGTTATAAATGCAGTAGGTCCTTCTGAGAAGGAGCGTTCTAGTTGTGCTTCTGAAAATGAAACTCTTTCCTTATGTGAAAATATCTCTAACCAGTCTGGTTTGGTAACTTTAGAAGAACTTTCTGATAATTTCTTATTTCTTCAAGAGAAAAAGTTATTAATGGGGACATTGTCTAACAAAACCAGTAGTGATTTCGGGCAAAAACCAGAAGCTGTTCTAAAGAGTATATTAGAAACCTCAAATAGGAACTCTGTAGAGCCTGAGCCTATGTTGGCTGAAAATGCACCAGTCTTTTCTTTAATACATGAAAATCTTAAAACTGTGAAAGATGAAAATTTTAACCCAATGACAATAGATAAAGATTTGAATTTTCCCTCTCAGAGTACTATAGAGATGCAGGCACCCTCTAGTCAATCTGTAGCACATAAGTCACGTGATAAACATGTAAGTCCTTCCCATTTGAAGGATGAAGGAGAACTTTTAAATGTGGAAGTTGGTGAAGTCTTGCCCTATAATACTGATAGTTTCTTTCAAGAAGAGCTGTCCAATAATGCCAAAAATCATAATACTGGAAACCATCCATGTTATGGTGTTGCACTTGAAATGGAGTGTGAGGGACAAATAAAACCTGGAATGTTTATTAATTCTGATGAAATACCTTTAAGTAGTTTCAGTAGAGAAAAATGTAATGATCAGGAAGATTTGAAAAAAAACTTGCAAAATAAGTCACCCACTTTAAAAAAAGATGAAAGCTTATTGGAGGAAAGACAAGAAACATCAAATAATTTTCAGAATTGTAAAGGGGTTACTGAAGAGATGACCTTAACTTCTGTTGCTGCTTCAGAATGTACAAGTCAGGATAGTCTTCTGGAAGACAGCTCGTCTCCTACACAAACTGTAGAACAAGCCTTAGAGACACCTGACTCTTTGGATTCTTTAGATGTAAATGAGGTTTTAGAATCTCTGCAGGCCCATAGTCCTCAGAAACTTTTGCCACCAGATAAACCTGCTGACAGTGGCTATGAAACGGAGAACCTGGAGTCTCCAGAATGGACTTCCCATATCACTGTTGAGGATGCTTCTAATACAGATACTGCACTATGTTCTGTCAGCGACAGCAATGTCAATGCTTTACCTCCCAATCCAGTCATAATTGTTTCAGAAGTAGCTTGTGTAGATGCAGTGAACAGCAATTTTGAAATAACCCCAAAGATTTTTGTAAGTGGAAATCAAAACTCATATAGAGACTCTGCCTATTTCTCTGATAATGATTCCGAGCCAGATAAAAAAACAGAAGAGACTGTAAATCTGTCAAGAGAGACTACAAATGTTGCTTCTTCAAATAGAGAAGAGATTAATACTGAAGATTACTGTTTTGAAGAGGCAGAGCAAAAGCGTGATCTAAGACGTTACCAGGATACTAATAATCAAAATACAAAATTAGAACTAAATCACAAGTTAGAGATGCAAGAGATGGATGTAATGATGCAGGGACATCCTGATAAGTGGGCTGAGGCAATGCTGAATTCCCTGAAAACATCAGTGGAAAGTAACTTCAGGAGTGAAGTAAAACTGTCTGAGGCTTCCCATAAAAGCGTCTCTTGCGTTGGCACTAACACATCAGAACTTCTTTCACACAGAGACTTGAAGTCTGTGCATGACATGCACAGTCCTTCAGATTCAAGTAACAGTGAGAAGTCCTTCTATCACATTGAAGGTCCAAAACTGAAAGAGCCAGATATTGAAGGAAAATACCTTGGCAAACTTGATGTTTCTGGAATGCTTGATTTAGAAGATGGCGATGATGCAGATGAAGAAGATGAAAACAGTGATTCTGAGGATGATATGAGGACTTTTCATATGCATAGCCTGAGTTCTGACAGTGATGATGAAACTGTTCATCAAGTACCTGAGATACTTACTGACAAGGATGATGGGAAGCATCTGAGAAGCTTACTGAAACTTCCAAAATCTCCTCAGAATGAAAGTCAACTTGAGCATTGGAAAAATGAGAAAAAGGCTGTAACGTTCTTTGATGATGTCACAGTCTATCTATTTGATCAGGTATCTTTCATCTTTTTTACAAAGTTACAATTTTTTTAAACAAGTCATAGTGAAGTAGTGTAATATTTGTAGATACATTGTCATAAAGATCACTTCTTTTTTGTCTTGACAAAGTTGTCTTGTGTGAGGTGTTCTTTTTTTTTTTAAGAAAAAATAATAAACTTTTTTCTAAGCTAGGTGCGATTGTGTGCTGATGGTAGAATAGCACTAACTTAAAGTGAAATTTGGTTTTGCCTGGGGGTGGGTGTTTGCTGTCAAGTCCTAAATCTCCACTGCTTCTAGAACCTCGATGGCAGGTACTGAATGAAACCTGCTCTTGAAGAATGTCATTTTGATGCTGCTCGCAGGGCTGCATTTCACTTTAATTTGTGAGCCAGCATTGTTATGCACGAGATACAATTTTATTTATCAATTATTGATGTAATTTTATAAAAATAGTTTCTGTTTAAGGATTTTGAGGACTCCAGGTCTTTTAGTTCAAATGTCTTTATAAAAAGAAATTAAAATCTTGCATTACTTAGCATTAAGATAATGTTTCCCTATTTACTTTATCAATTTTAAACTTCTGTAACTTGGTACAGAGAGCATTGTGTTCTAACATTATGGCAGCTAGGCTAGTAAAGTGAATTTAAAAAAAACAGTCACATTATCAGGCTTTGGAAATGTTGCTTGTGATGATGCATTTGAATACTAGAGATCATTGTGTTTTGGAATAGAAAACTTGTATGTTTTTTGGTGGGTGGGGGGACCCTCTGAAGAACAGTAATCTCTGTCGTGGAGGGAAAGGCAAAAATTAGCTGTAAGGCAAAAATTAGCTGTTGCGTTAAGGTGCTCTTAGTTGAGCTCTTGCTTATTGTTGTAGTAACTGATAAATTGTTGACTTCTTCAAATGCCAGTCATTCAAAGTCAGTCTTCTCTTCATCCTTAAGCGTGATTAAATGGCAAAAAAAAAAAAAAAAAAGTTGGGAGATGGATCTAAACAAGTTTGTTTTTCTTTTTTTTAAATAGAAAACAACTACCTGTGACAGGCTGATTAGAGAACTATTTTCTATTTAATTGGAAGATATTTTAGCTTTGTTCCTTTAAAACTTTTTATATTATAAATAATAATTTGAATAGTCATTTCTTGCGTGCATTTTAACATAGCTTTGATACAACTTTTGTAGAAAGTAGAAGTACTTGTATATGCATCATACACAACTCCAAGTTTTGTTGGACAGGCACTAACAGACTACTTAATTCCATAATAAATTTGGTGGAAAATAAGGTGGTTTTGGAACACTAGCATCCAACTGTATGGGTACACTGTGTGTACACAAGAGTTAAATAAATTATTTTGGTTGCCTTAGGAAACGCCAACTAAAGAGCTGGGAAACCGTGCAACAGACTTGAACAGCCAAGGCTCTCGCAGCGCTCCTGTTCCATCTTTGGGTTTTAATTACTTAAACAGATTTACGAACTCGGAAAGCTCAACAGATGAAGAAGGTACTTGAATGTATTTATACAGAGCAGAGGTTGAGAATGTTTTATGTGTGGTTTTAATGAAATGTCACTATTAAAATATGTAATTCATAAGTTCACTGCACCATCTTGGCTTTAGTTTTGCTTTTTAAGGGATTCTTCAGCTAGGTTCAGATACTAGCCTTATCAATTATCAATGTTTGGAAGGTAATGCTAGTTGTTTATAGATCAACATTTCTTAACTTGAGAAGGAACCCCACTTTACCTAATCTTTGTGAGCCACATGACCAGAACAGGGTTGGCCCAATCTCTTTGGACTGGGAGAGTGGGTCTGGATATCACAGCATCTCAGTGCTACTAGGCAATCTCACTAGAGCGCTCATGTGACTTTGAAGACTTTCTCCGTCCTGCCAAAACCTGGATTCAGTAAAAGAAAAGAAAGCGATTCAGGTTTTGTTCAGAATTGCATGTATAAGTGCATGATTCTAGCCTCGGTGTTGTGTAAGCTCAGTCTTGCATCTGGGGAGTTGTGCACCTCAGTTTCACATGCAGTCTCCTCCTGACTCTCCCTGTCAGTTTGTTCTCTCACAGCTTCCAGACCTCTTTCTTTCCCATCTCTCCCTTCTCTGTTTGTGTAACCTACCCCATGCTCAAAGACCATCAGTTAGGAGTTGCTGCAAAAGTTTCTAGTAAAAGTTTCCCCTTTTTTTCCCCCTGCCCCCACTTGCAGGAAAATACAAGTGCTTTTTTCTTCTTGTTTGCATTAAGGTAGTACCCTTAAGCTTTTCTTTTGTTAAGTAATAGTATAATGAAATGTAGAGACTGAGGCCTGTGCAGTGAGCATAAAACCACTTGATGGAGCATTCTTTAATCTCTTGTATGATTTGTCAGAATGCTTGTGTACCTTGTGTCCTGATTCAAAAGCCTAAGACCGTAGCTCTCCTCCGATTTATTAAAATAATGACAATCATCAGCCTTGGTTTCTAAAAGCTTGTAATTGCTCCAGTGGAAATAAAACAATAAATTCTCCAGAGTCAGTCTCTTTTAATGAAGTTGAATTATCTGAACACTTTTATATTAGAGCATGGTAAGTAATATTTTCTCACTGCATTGGATCATCTTAGGTCTTTCTGGCTTTTGAAGCCAATTTTTTTTATGCTCGTAGCCTGGAAATCTGTAGTTTTTCAGTGAGAGCTCCTCAGAATGTGCACTTAAATACTTTTATGTGGGTGTATATAGTGTAATAAGGTCTTGAAATTTGATATTGATAAACACAGCACCTAAAACTGAGCACACTAAAGTGCTTTAAAAATATATATATTTTAACACGGTTTAGCCTATCTTAACAGTTTGTTCTTCGCTTTGAAAGCTGACATTCTCTAATCACTTTCAGATAGAAAGCTATAGTTTCCAGTTCTGATGCTTGTCGTTAACCCTGTCTGCAATAAGACTGACATTTTTTCGTGGCGGGGAGAAGCAGAGTTAATGTTTTAAAGGTTGTATTATGATTTGTGTATGGTATGTCAAAAGCCTCCTAAGTTTAGATTTCACTTCCAAAGTTCACTGTATCCTTAGTAATCCTGTGATAATGTGTTGTTTCTGCTGCTTAGGAGATTTGGTCCTGAAAGTTATAACAAGGTTTGCTTTGGGTTAATGCAGTCTTCAGGGACTTGCTTTTAAAATGATATGTAATTTTATATGACCATAAATTGTCTCCCTCTCCTCCATTTTTTTTTTTTAGGTGGGGGTTTTGAATGGGATGATGACTTCTCTTCTCCAGAGCCCTCCTTTATATCAAAAGCAGCTAATAGCCTTATTAGCTCTAAACCACCTCTTCAGTCATCAAAGTACTTCTCTCCACCTCCACCTACCCGGACTCTTGAACAGAACTGGCCACATTCATCCCCTTATTCCAGATTCTCTATATCTCCTGCAAACATAGCAAGCTTTTCTCTTACACATCTTACAGATTCAGATATAGAGCAAGGAGGTAAGTGATTTTAGTTCAAGAAATTATTTTAAAACTGCAAATTAAAAGCTTTATGCACAGATGTGAATAATGTTGATGACAAATCTTGTTCTATTTTATACTTAACTTATAAGTGTACATTTAAATCTGTAAAGGTTGAATTTGATGTTATATTTCAATAGGTCATACCTTCCCATTAGACTGAGATTATTTGCATCCAAATAACTAGTGGTTGAATAGTCTCTAGAATATTTACGGGACAAACTCACAATTTTTCTGTTCTCAAAATTAGTACCATATTTATATAAATGAAATCTATGCAGTCCTTTCTTAAGCGTTTCTGTAGAGCTGTTACCCTGTGGCAATGTAATAAGAGAAAGCTAATAATTCTTGTTATTTCCGTGTCATGAGTTACAACTCACTCTTATTGCACAGAGTGAGAATGTTAGGAATATGTTGGCTGCCATTGGTGTCTAAACTTATTTTACAGTTCAGTTTCTCTCTATAATTACTCTTTAGGAAGTACACGATTGAGATTCTGTCAAGAATTGTACCATGTTTTTCTAGAGCTGTGAGCAGGATGGTTTCTTTGTTAGGGGAGACTAACAATCTGTTCATAGCGATGTTGGATTGTAGCAATATTTATTATCAGAAGCTTCTTGCCCCTAACAAAATGATTTTTAAGCTTTACATCTTTGGTTATGAGAATAAAAAGTGAGCAGACTTATATCAGTATAGCATATTATTCTTGATTAAAATACTGTGTTATAAAAAAAGTACTGATTGCTGACCCTTGCTGATGGTCAATGTTTTAAATGTAATCAGTGATATATAGAGCTGTATTGTGCTTACTGATTAGATAATGTTTGCTGCTTAATAACTTACAGATAAGAGATTATTTTGGAGATATCACATTGCCTGTGTGTCCTAAGAACTGACATTGAACTGTGTGATTTAAGCATATGTCTCTGTATGAATCTACCAAATGTTTACAGTAGTTAAAAGCTCTAGGGAAATATTAACCAATACTTGGAAGGACGAAACAGCAGAATGCCAGGTTCTGGGAAAAGTCTTGCAAAGTGAGAGTTTGTGCAGAAAAATCTCCCTGCACCTTATGACCTTTTCTCTCCTAATAGGAAGCAGTGAGGATGGAGAAAAAGATTAAATGAATTCAGACTTCTTCCTGGGATTACATACATAGAATACATACGCTCTGTGTCTGAAACTTCTTTATCTAAACTCTGGATCTCCTGGAGTAACGCAGGTAATCAAGAAGTACTAAGAAGCGAAAGTAAACACTGAAAGCAATGTTAAATCAGGACATTAATTTGAATGTGTATTTAACTTTGTAATGTATTTTTAAATCAGTGCAATTTTGCTGTTCATTGAAAGATGATTCTGCCGCTGTTTTCAAGTACTTGAAGTATTTTTCAGATAATTTAAGAAATAAGTAAAGCAATTACACTACGGTCTGGTTTATGTATGAGATTGTATAATATTCTTTTTATATTTTTCCATGTAGTTCATTATCTATTTGAACATACACCTGTTGTAGACTTGTGTATAACTGTCCTGTGCAACAGGTGGCTGTGTTGCTGATACTGTATGAACGATAGTTGATCAGTAGTGAGCCATATTTATTCAAAAAAAGATATCACTACATATTACTTTGCTTATTACAATTGCACTATGGATTATTCTTCCTCTATTTCCTGATGTACAGAATCAAAAAAACTTTTCAAGGAAAATAAGACAAGTTGAATTGGCCCAGTTATCCAGTTTAATTTGTCCTTTTTGTAGCCTTTGCTATGCACGGTACTTGTAAAACATACATAACTGCTGAGTGTTATGTTAGACTTTCTGAAATCTTCTATTCAGTACCATTTCTAAATGATGATTATCGATTGTTAGTGTTCATGTTTTATAGGAAACTGGAAAAGATGATGTGATATACTCTGGAATTAATTTTTAGATGAGAGATTATGTCTCTTCATTCCTGAATATGATCTTACTGACTGCTTAAACAGTAATAGCATCTGACTCTATCATACGTAAAGGCCTTCCAATTTTCAGTACAATTTCTGCTTTGGAGAGAAAAGGGGGAAAATTGGCCATACAAAACTGTGTGGAAATTATGAATCTTCTAAAAAGACTAATTTCTGTAGACTGGATTGAGGCATACTTGGCCTTTTGCTTGTTTGTTCCATGAATTTTGAAGCCCTCTGTTTTCTCCTCCTGACTGCGGATTGGAGTTGCCATTCAGAGGCCTGTGGTAGATCTACCTCTCAGTGATTTTATTACAATTGAGAATTAGATTAATGATTAATAATTTAAGTATTTTGAATAAAGTCTTGATCCAAAGTGGTAGTCAATGGCACTCATATTTCATACCCTTTATAAGCCAGACCTACTTTAAGATGTCTGCAGGGCTCTATGGCGCATCTTGAAATGCGCACTGACCCAAAGAGGTAAGAGAAAAGTTTGCTCTGAAGTTGTTTGTAGGGAAGGGAATACAATGTGGGTTTTCTGATTTGTGTTTTTTTGTTTTGTTTTTAACCTTCATACTCTACCGTACATTTAGCTAATTTAATCCTTTAAATTGCTTGAAAAAAATCTGTAATTACTACCCTAAAGTGAGCTCAACTGAGGAACAAATCTCTGGCCTCTTGAAATGCCTTATGCAGCCATGGATCTGTGGGAAACGCTAACAGAACAGTCTACCTGGTTTAAAGCATTTTGTATGTTAGTGCGTGTTTTGTCAGGGCTTCAGTGTAATGCTAGTCCAAGCGCTCTGTGTTCAGATGCAGTCAGCAGAGAATTTTGATCACACGAAGCATGGGAAGACTAGATATTTTCAGATGTGTTAAGCTTGTGTTGTATACCTCTATATGCGTTTTGATTTTTTTTTTTTAAACAGTATGTTTTAAATGACAGGACTATAAAGCTAACTTTTTTTGCAGCGTTATTTAGCCCTGAAAGCTAGAATGGTTTCCATACCAATCAAAAGGGAATGATTTAGTTATAGAAAGCTATTTAAAGTTGCCAATATATTATTGAGATGACTTGTTCTGATGAGGCACTCAAGTTCAAACTTGCTCAGAACTGTACTTCAGTATGAAGTGAGGAACAGAACTTTTCATGGACTTTTCCCAGCACATGATTTACGAGGCAAAGCCAAGTAGTTCTTAATACATGCTTACGATATGTACTGTTGAGGGCTTAAAGAAGCTGTGTGCTACTCTCCTAATATCTGCTGAAATATATAGGTAGTAGATTTGGTGCGCAAAGTATTACAGTTTAATTCCATAATACTAACGTTAAATTCCTTGATGCAGCTAGATTAAAGTTTTTCATCTGTTTTCTGTAACTGTGGTGTTATCAGAAATTAAGTAGGAAAATTCAAACCTGAGAATGAAACTCCGTAAGTGGTCTGCAAATAATGTGTGGGCTTATCTGCCTTATGTGTAGTAAAAAAATCGAAAGTATCAGACCTGGAGTTCAACCTTAATTTTGAATTGCTTGATTTAGAAAACAGTTTAAGGTTAAATAAAAGCTTATAGTCCTGAATATTACAAATTTGGTTTTGCTTTTTCTTTCTTGTAATTTCGGAAAGTCAAATACTTGAATTCATCTCATACAAATGTGCAGTACTTCATCCTGCATGTCAGGAATTTCCTTAGCTTAATGGAAATCTGTGATTTTTGTTCTTCAGTTACCAGGGTTTAAAGAAAATCTTACAAGTGAAAGTTTATTCCTTTGTCCAAATCGACTCATTGCTAATGAATTGCCAGAGGAGCATGTTTTCCAGTATGGGTCGGGATGTGTATGATACTAAGCAAGGTAACATCCTTTTTAGCTATACGATGAAGAGAAAGAAATATTTAAAGTTGATTTGACACACTTAAACTATGTATTTTAATTTCAGTATTCCAGTAGGCTGGATTACAATAATCTAAAGGGCCTTTTTTGGAGAAAAAATGCAGCTAAAATCAGATCAACTACTAGCAATGTTTAAATCCACTGAGCAGTCAGTTGCACAATGAAGATAAATTAGTAATTCCAACACATTACATTTTAATAAGGGGGTTTGTTGTGAGTCATACATTAAACTATATGTAATTTCTTGCACTAGCTACTTGAGCATGGTTTCTGTTTTAGAAGTACATGTATCTATTTTCAATGGTTTATTATGAGGACTGGTTGCATTTTAATTCCTTCTCTAGTAGAAAACCTAGATTATTTGAATATTGAAGGCATTGTCTCAATTTGGCTAGTAAAGTTATTTAAATGATCTGATTTCCCACCTAAGGAAGTTTGTTAAAAATGAGGATCTGTACTGAGAAGCCAATGAAGTGAGAAGAGTGTCCAGTTTTAATGGAAGCACCTGTACTCTCCCACATCCCAAAGCTGCAGATAAGTTGCGCATGTAACTGCACTTATGGAAACTGCCATTTCCATGGAAACAAACTGATTAAACATTTTTTTTCCCATATCCTTGTGGATGCACTAATGAAAGCCATTTAAGCCTCATTCTTTTTATCAGTATTTTTAGCAGATTTTTTATGTAGTACTAAATCTTTTTTCATGAGGAGGCTGGTTGGTAGGAAGACTTTTTTTTTTTTAAATGATTAAGCACTATGCTAAAATGTCAGCATTGTCAGGTGTTAGTGACATGGCTATTTTTGTTGAAGTTGGTAAAAGGTGGAATCAAAGTATATTAGCCTTATAAGAAATAGCCTTAACATAAGAATGGAGTGTACAAAATTACTTCAGCTTTAAAGTCATACAGAAATATCCTCGTATGTTAATGAGCTTTGGTACAAGACTGGAAGAAATCTAGAGGAGAGTCAAACGTCATATAAACTTATTGAAAATAAGTATTTGTAATACCAGCAGCCTGTTTTTCAGAAACTTGAATATGACTTACAGTTAGTTTTGTTTATGAAATTGTTTGAACTTGCACAGTTGTAGGTGTAACTTAAATGATAAATGGTACTGATGTGTGTGTGTATATATAATGTTTAATTCTATTTGTAAATGAGAAACTATGTAACAAAATCATAGGTATGAGGTTTTCCTATTGTAATTTAATACAGTTATGAGGTTTATGGCAATATATCATAGTTAATGAAATTTCAGGTCAAAATGTCTTTAAATTGTGTACATTTTTAAATTGTAATTTCTACTGTATATTGATTATCATGCATAGTGTGATTCAATAAATTGCTTGTAATTTAAAAATATTTAATATTAAAATAAAATACAGTTATATATTTTTAATCTCTTTGTCTATTTGTTCATTCTTACACAGATACCAACAATAGATTAGGTCTACACTATAGTGTGGTTATGGTTATCTTAAGATATATCTTGTTAATGTCCAGAGGCTGACAGATGTCAGCATTTTGTACCTTAAATGCTCAAAGCCCCAGTCCCTGCAGATGAATCTTTATTAAATAGCATAGTCACCTTCCAATTGCTTTCTAGCGTCACCCTTGATTGAACAGCAGGTGACATCTCCATGCTGTCAGTAGAGAAGCAATACTCAAAATACAAACAGAACATAACTTTTAAAATTGATTATTGCTTTTAATCCCAGAACTCAGCCTCTATAGGAAGAGTGTGTAGATTTCACAGTTTTTCAGTACCCTTCAGAGAACAGATAGATGTTCTCACTTTTTATTGAGTTTATTTCTAGAAGAGGAGTATGATTTTTTTTTTTTCTTTTAAATCTAAGTGCATATACTGAACTAACTGCAGATCCCCAGGTAAATGAAGTACTTATGCATATTGGTAGCTTCTTTGCATGAGATTCAGATTACTTAAGTCCTGGCACTACCTGAGGCAGGAGAGGGAGAGACCTGTGTTTTCTTCTTAACCTGTGAACTGTTAAGATTATGATGAAACATAATGTAAGCAGTTAGTAGAGGCTGTTGTAGAAGCCCGCACGGTCATATCACAGCTGTTCTGAGTCCTGGCAACTGTTGAAACCTTGGAACAAGAAACTGATATCAAGGTGACTTAAGTAAAACATAACTACAGGACTGAAATTTGACCAAGACACTGTCAAGAACAGATGACAAAGATCCCATGGCACTTACTAGTCATCTCATACAGAACCTATTACCAAAGGATATGAATAATCCCAATCTCTAGCATCACCAACCCTCTTGTATGGGATGGAAGGGCTTTGCCTCTGGGTCTTTTGTCACACAAGCAATATGACAACTTGCACAGCCCAGGGCAGAACAGCGAATTGAGCCAGATCTTTCTTTCTTCCACCCCTGGATGCTTCATCTACCAAATTAAGTACTGAACTGACCCTTCCTGTAGATCAAAGTATAAATGAGTATATTCACTATGTGGCTTAGCCTCCACCAGCCCCACCTCTCAATCCGCTGCTCGGGTGCTGACCCAGGAGTCCAGCCTCCCGACTGCACCTTCTGCCACTCAGAAGACCCCAAAACCTGGCGCATCAGCACTGCAAAGCTGAGCTGAATTTTAGGTGTCTTAAACCTTGAAATGCCGAGGCGTAAGCAAACGCTGCCTTGGGTGAAATCAGTACCTCGGATTTGCGAAGGGGAGCTGTGCTGTTGGATCTGGGCAGGGACGAGTTGTTTGAGAAACTTTGGAGTCTGTGCCTGGTTCCCACAAGCGTGTTTGCGTGCTACTTTTGCGGCTCCTTCGCAGCTTTGTACGCCAGCTCCTCGTGAAGGGCGGGCTGTAACACAGCTCCCAAGTGCCTTACGTGTTAAGATACTATTGGGATTTAAGACTGCAATTTTTCACTAAAAAAGTGAATAGGGCGGTCTTTATGCCATCTGCCTTTAGTGAAAGCTAAGCTCGGTATTAAGGGAGGTTTTGAAGGACCACTTCTCAGCTTACGCTGGTGGGAGGGGATATGGTCATTGAGGGTGGTGGAGGAGGGGGGAAGGCTAGAGTGATTCTGCAGGACTTTTAGGCTTTTTTACACTGTAAAAAGGCTGTGTGAGGTCAGGTCACGCTTTGTTTTTGCTTTTATTCCTGGGAGGCGTGCGGAGAACCCCCACTGCCCGTATGAAGTCGCTCGTGATGCCGCCCGCTTCACCAAGAGACTCAGGCCGGGCCGGCTTGCCGCTTGGCCCACGGCGGTGGGTTTGCGAGCCCAGAAACTTGGGAACCTCTTTGGTGGCGGCGGCGGCGCCGACAGAGCGGCTTCGCGAGCGCTGCTGCAGCCGCCTCGTGAGCCCGGCTTGGCGCGGGGCGTTTTACCGGGAAGCAGTGGAACCTGGACCACGTTTTCGGGGAGAGGCCT